TAATTTTTTTCAACCCCGGTAACAAAATTTTCTAGTTCTGCCACTATCATGTAGTATTGTATTTTTTCATTAGCTTGTAAACTTGTTTCATGTAATATTATTTGAGTAGTTTTCTGTTAATCAACATATATCATCTGTGTGGTTTCTACCACCAATCCGTTTAGTTTCATTTTTTAAACACTAAATCTATATTTCTGTTGCGATATAAATAAATATACTAGAAAGAGTATAAATTGAGTAATGATAATTAGTAAAGGAAGAAAAAAAGAGCTTATGAACAAGAAATAGACAAGCGTCCCTCTTCGGCCAAATCTTTTTGAGTCTTGGCGCATGTTTTGTTTTATTTCAGTTAGTTGTTATTATCATCTTTCACACAAAGTATACGATAACCATTGAAGAAAAAAAGTTTCAAAAGAACTTTTCATTTCTTTCTTTACGTATTAGGCCGATTAGGTTACTGTTCTCCACATATGTTTTGTAACTGTATTTACTTTATAGCAAGGAGAAATTATAGCTATTTTCCACATGAATAATTTCGTTAATAATATATTTAGTAATCCGTACCCCCCCCCCCAAATGAAACAGTGTGACTATAATCCAAAATAGGATTTCATATTTTCTTTTAAAATTATAAGCATACTTATCATGTATCTAGACCCAAGAAAGTTGAGAAATGGACAGTGTAAATGTATTATTGTGTTTGACTGATAACACAAATTATACGGTTTACCAACTTTACAGTATATAACGTTTTAGATTGTACAAATTACAAAAACAATATCAAAAACTTTAGTAAAAGCGTTAAACTCAATTTTATTTTTATAGCTTCTTTTTATAGCTAATTTTACAGTTTTGTATTATGCTGCAAACTGTTTACCGCTCCAACTTACAGCTGAAAAACTTGTACCGCATTAGATTACCAATCAGACATATTTCCGGTCATATTTTCTTCGCTCTGTGTGTACGTGGCATTATTTGTGTGGCTAAGAGTGTTTGGTGAAAACTGTAAAGCTTGTTGAGTCCCTAAAACCAAAACTTTTCTCAAGTGTTCAAGTAGTGTATATTGGACTATTAGTACGATACTATGAGATTATTGTCTGCTGATACAATTTCACGGTTTTCTTACCAAAACATTCAGATGAAAATATTATACTTTTTTGGTATATAACATAATCAATAGTAGGGCCTATACTTTTAAAAGTTGCTAATATATAAAAAAAAGTGTTAAAACTTGAAAGATAAATTATTTATTTCCTTGGCTTGTTCTTTGAGGTGGTATGTGTGATGCAATTCCACGGTTGTAAATGTTTTTTTAGACTATAGGCAAAAACATCACTTATTAGATTTATCCCATATATATAGAGAAACATATATGTTTTTTTGGAGGATTAAGATTTAAGATTGATCTTATCTAAACTTTAAAAATATCTCCTTGTTGACAAAACAAAAGTTTACCTTAATGACGTAGTCGTTATCCCAATTCCAAATTGCCATGTCAGATTGATTAAGAGGCTGAAAGTCCTCGACCAGCAATGAGGAAAACAAAATTTAAACATTGAAACTTGACGTCGTTATGTATTAAAATTAGTTAACTAGGATATTTTTTTCTTAAATACCGGATTATCAGATGGGAAACTGGCATATATAACTTAAAAAAAAAAACTATAATCCATAAACTAACCAAATTACTTCTTTTTTTCTTTCTTAATTTTCCTATCTCTCTCTAATATTTTACTAGATTTGTATAACTCTTAATTCCTTCAAGCTAGCTACGATAATTTTCTTTTCTCATACTTGTGAGTTGCTTTTGACGAGTTTACAAAACATCAATAATCTATATAATACTTGTGGTTTCCAAGTATGTTTTATAAAAAAAATATTTTTTGTCTAGCAGCCGTTGTAAAATTTTAAAATGTTTCTTTTCGTGATTTCAAAGGTCATTGTTATACGTAGAGAATCACATTTCTCCACTAGTTCAAACGTCATTAAGTGTCTCCTAACATACGCATCATCATTTGAGGCTTAAAATACTCGAATAAATCATTAACTAGCAAGAATAGCTACTAATTAAAATAATTAATTGTATTAACTAACAACTATTGAAATTTATAAGTGCAAACTGTAGGATCTACCTGTGGATTGTGCATCTAATCACATCTAACTAAGTATTGAAATGTGGATTGTGCATCTAAGCAAAATCCTAACCAATCCATATATAGAATATGTGGATAAGTGATAGACGCATTATCAATATATCTCGTGGTTTGGTGCTCAATGGTCCAAGCAAGACATCGCATCGCGCACACACACGCTTCTTTCACTTCCATCATGTGTTTGCTCCCCCCCCCCCCCCACACGCACCACCTTCTCACTTTATTTTACATCAAACTTCATGTATATATAATTCGTGTTGTTAATTTACTTTATGCATTTTCCAATAGTCATTGGAAAGTTTGATTTAGACCAGGTTTTCAATCTAGTATATATCGCCATTCCTATTAATATGCGTATATTTTCTTAGGAACGAATGTTTAATATTTAGGTCTAAAGCTGTTAGGTAAACCGTAAAATCCCAAAGTTTGGAACAATGAGGTAGGACCAATATAATATTTAAGTTTCAAAAAAAAAAGACAATATTACTTAACCAAAAACAAATTGTGTGACTTTTGTATATATATTTACACGTTAATACTAACATTATTATTTTTGTTTATGTAGGTTGAAAGTTCCATGCCTTGTTCAGTTGGCACAAATTATATAGGAA